CGGAATCCACAAAACTTCTGGATTATCCGCTATTAGACATTGATTATGGATAATGTGTTCATGATAGATTGATCCTTGTCTAGGGAATACACATCAAACCCCCTTCAACTATAATGAGGGCACTAATCTCTTTGATGGAAATCTAAAGATATCCCGCATACAAGGACCTGGTCAAATTGGCCACCAGCCGACCGCTTCTACGGTTGCAATTCACGTTATTCTTTTGTGGTCTTGGCTGTTGGAAAATTGGTCCAGGATAAGTAATTTGTGGATAAGTGAGATAACTTGCACTATTGAGTTTTGTGTTTCAATGTTCTTGTATCTATTTGCAGAATATAATCATCGAGTTCAGATGAGTTCGAACGGCATGCGATGCAGGCCATTTTTTAATTTGGCGGCTTTGATTCGAAAATATCAGTGTATCGAGGTTAAGAAGACAATTATGTGATTTGGCAAAGCTGACAAGAATGGTGATGAATTATGTTGTCAAAGTGGTCTAAGGAATCCCTAGAGGGATTGTGGACAGCTTGACAAATGTTTAATAATAATCAAATAATAATATGTCTTGTTTACCCAGGGTAGCCTCATCAGTATTCATACTGTTCTCCCCGAGGGCCCTGCAATCATAATTATTATTACCCCGGTGATCGGATTCAGGCTTACCCGCACACAATGTATGCACATTCTCCACTCCCTGGGGAGCATTCCAGCCAAGCGTCATTTTTACAAGCGCACACTTGCTAATCTTAGCACATAGTCATCGTTGCTGCACACCTTCTTGTGCTAGAGGTATACAGGGAGAAAGATCCAAAGAAGCAACAGACCTTCATGGCTGTAATGCCACCAAAATAGTCAGGCACCTGCCATACCTGCAAAGAAATGGCTAGGAAACTTGTTGCACCCCTTTTGTGTCTGTGTACTTTCCTTTTGGGTAGGTTTAAGTTCAAGTCAATAAATGGTCAAAGAAACCTCTTCTGAATGCACCAAGGCTGCACGTTCCTTCGTGGGAAACTTGACAACTCTATGTTTGCTTGACATATCCTACTTCCAATGTTGTGTTGTTCCTTCATGTCTTTTCATGATTCATTGCTCTTAACCCTTTGAGTACCATGGTCATGTTGGTTGGGTTGAATTCTATCATTTTCATAACCACATGACATACGCTACAAGGCCACTGATCTCAAATAAAGTTTTGACGAATTTGGAGCTAAATTAAAGGTCTGTAATTATATTGAAGAGAAACCTCTTCACAGAAATATTGAACTGTTTATCACGCCGTAGGGGCGTCACTGGACTAGCAAGTTTTAATAATAATAATAATAGTGGGCTCTTGTATAGCAACCAGCCAACAGCCAGCATGATCAGCTTGATTTCCTAACTTTCTCTACTCCTCACCCAGCCTTTATTTACTTTCTATCTCATCTGTTTGACATAAGGACTTCATGTTTGTATCGAACATTCTATGGTTAGTTCTTAGTAGGTCCATGGTTAGATTTGATGTCTCACATGAGATTTTCTTTCGTCGTTATATACCACAACTCGAGTATGCCTTTTACCTTCTAAATGAGTTAAAGAACACTGCTTTCTTACAATCTTCAAAAAACCACATTGCTATACAAAATATGAAACAGTTACCCGTTTCAATATCTTCAGCAGCAAATCGGTTAGCATTGGGAAGGTTAACAACAAGGAATTGGATTTGTGGTGGTATATAGATTTCCCACCTTCATGATGTAATGTTCAACATTTTGACGGGAATTCTCATGTCTGACTTGTGGTACAGATATCGTATCGATTTAAGGAAGTGGCTTTTGGAAATTTCAAACACATTCGAGACGATGATAACCACAATCACTGAAAGCAAAGGCTGGCAGACCACTTTCAAGTAGTCTTCCTCGTTTATTGTTCTCTTTCCTTTAGGGTATTTTGTTTCCTCTCTCTCTCTCTCTCTCCCTCTCTCTCTCTTCTTCATCCTCTTCCTAAGCATCGTCTTCTGATTCGATGTCTAGATGTCTAATAGTTCTTTTCATATTCTTCTTATTAGTGGCTATGTATGGTGGCCCTGAAGGGACATCGCGAATAGACTAAATCGTGAAAAATATGCGATAAAATTCACGATATCGTCAATTTTATCGCATATTTTTCACGAAGAAATTCACGAAATTGACGATATCGTGAACTTTATCGTGAACTTTTCACGATGAAATTGACGATATCGTGAATTTTATCGTGAAAAGTTCACGATATAAAGTTCACGATATCGTCAATTTTATCGTGTACTCTATCGTGTACTCTATCGTGTACTCTCCTGACGGGCGCTTCGTAAACAAAACCAGCCCTAGCTGGGGGAGACAGAGAGAAGGGAAAAAGGGAAAGGGAAAGAGAAGATAAAAGGAAAGAAAGAATAATAAGAAGAAAAGAGGGAAACGGGGGGGGGGGGGGCGAAGGGCTCTTGCCTCCTCCTCACTCCCCCCCCCCCCCCCCGCTAAAAAATAAATCAGAGAGAGAGAAGGGAAAGGGAAAGGGAAAGAGAAGATAAAAGGAAAGAAAGAAGAGGAAGAAGAAGAAAAGAGGAAAACGGGGGAAGGGCAAAGGACTCTTGCCCCCCCCCTTCCCCCCCCCCCGCCAAAAAATAAATCAGAGAGAGGGAGAGAAGGGAAAGGGAAAGGGAAAGAGAAGATAAAAGGAAAGAAAGAAGAGGAAGAAGAAGAAAAGAGGGAAACGGGGGCAAAGGGCTTTTGCCTCGTCCCCCCGCCCCCCGCCAAAAAATAAATAAGAGAGAGAGAGAGAGAGAAGGAAAGGGAAAGAGAAGAAAGAAAGAGAAAAACGAAAAAGAGGGAGAATAGGAAAGAAAGGAAAAGAAAGAAAAGAAAGGAGGCAAGAGCCCTTCGCCCCTGTTTCCCTCTTTTCTTATTCTTTTTCCTCTTCTTTCTTTCCCTCTCCCTTCTCTTTCCCTTTATGGCGGGAGGGGGGAGGGGGGGGTAAGAGCCTTTCGCCCTTCCCCCGTTTCCCTCTTTCCGTCTTCTTCTTCTTTCTTTCCTTTTATATTTTCTTTCCCTTTCCCTTTCCCTTCTCTCTATCTCTCTCTCTCTCTCTCCTATTTATTTGTTGGCGCGGGAGGGGGGATGAGGCAAGAGCCCCTCTTTTCTTCTTATTCTTCTTCCTTTCCTTTTTTATTCTCTTTCCCTTTCCCTTCTCTCTCTCTCTCTCTTATTTATTTTTTGGGCGGGGGATGCAAGAGCCCTTCGCCCCCGTTTCCCTCTTTTCTTCTTCTTCTTCCTCTTCTTTCTTTCCTTTTATCTTCTCTTTCCCTTTCCCTTTCCCTTCTCTCTCTATCTCTTATTTATTTTTTTGGCGGGGGTGGGGAGGGAGGAGGCAAGAGCCCTTCGCCCTTCCCCCGTTTCCCTCTTTCCTTCTTATTCCTCTTCTTTCTTTCCTTTTATATTTCTTTCCCTTTCCCTTCTCTCTCTTATTTATTTTTGGCGGGGGGGGGGGGGGAGGAGGCAAGAGCCCTCCGCCCTTCCCCTGTTTCCCTCTTATTCCTCTTTTTTCTTTTCCTTTCCCTACTCTCTCTCTCTCTCTCTCTCTCTCTCTCTTATTTATTTTTTTGGCGGGGGGGGGGGGAGGTAAGAGCCTTTCGCCCTTCCCCCGTTTCCCTCTTTCCTTCTTCCTCTTCTTTCTTTCCTTTTATATTTTCTTTCCCTTTCCCTTTCCCTTCTCTCTCTCCTTATTTATTTTTTGGCGGGGGGGGGGGGGAGTGAGGAGGAGGCAAGAGCCCTTCGCCCCCCCCCCGTTTCCCTCTTTTCTTCTTAATATTCTTTCTTTCCTTTTATCTTCTCTTTCCCTTTCCCTTTTTTCCTTCTCTCTGTCTCCCCCAGCTAGGGCTGGTTTTGTTTACGAAGCGCCCGTCAGGAGAGTACACGATAGAGTACACGATAGAGTACACGATAAAGTTGACGATATCGTGAACTTTATATCGTGAACTTTTCACGATAAAATTCACGATATCGTCAATTTCATCGTGAAAAGTTCACGATAAAGTTCACGATATCGTCAATTTCGTGAATTTCTTCGTGAAAAATATGCGATAAAATTGACGATATCGTGAATTTTATCGCGTATTTTTCACGATTTAGTCTATTCGCGATGTCCCTTCAGGGCCACCATAGCTATGCTACCCCCACTGGAAGACATGTGGGGAGGCAACTTGGAGGACATTAACTGTTTTGGAAAACAGAGATATTGATTAGTTAAATGTTACAGTCCGCGTCATCTTGTTATAACAAAACCGCGATTTCTTTATCCTCCATATAGGGCTATAATTTTTCTACTTTTTCAATTGAAAGCTATTTTGTATTTTCAGTGCATGGTTCTATAAATCTTGAACGTCCTGAAGAAACATCTGCTGTGTCCTGTATATACCTTCACCCACATTGAGGGTCCATAAGTCCATATGACATTGTTTAGGTGAAGAATTAAATATCTTCGTAACTAATAAAATGAGTGTTGTATTTCGTAACTAATAACATGAGTTAGATGCTGCTTGTAAGTATCAGGACTCCTCAATTCTCCCTCTCTCTCACACATGGTGCATCCGCAAGCCTACTGTATAATAACATGAGTGTTGTAACGTAGGTTAGCCATTAAAGGGGACACATGTGTCTTGGAGGAGTGGGGGAGGGGGGGCAAACGGGCTTACTATAGTGATTGAAATGCCATGGTATGGACTCGATGAAGGGGCTTGTGCCCTCATCCCTCACTCCGAGCTCTATTTTGCTACGCCACTGAATAAAATGTTCAATCAAACAATCAAATTTGTAAATGTAAAGAGAATTCGAAATGCGGCTCGCGCCCGACCGCGGTACAAATGTCCTTTGGCAAAACATTAATCTGTATTTGCCACTCGCCACTCAGATGTAGAATATGATTATCTTTCTTTTGATCTCTTTTGTGACAATTTTTTATAACTATTGTTCTTTCTTTCTCTGTTACCAGGGTAACTGCTGTTGGCAGAGCGTTACTGGGAGAAGGATGCAACTCAAGTCTGTTGACATTGCGGACAGTTCGGAGATCGAGAGACGTCATTTGCAAAAGGCCGCATATCACAGACTCCAAGCTTACAATGTAGGCCCCATCATCTTGCCAAGAGGTAAGAACATCATTGTATAGTGGTTCATCTATTTGAGTGTCAATCAACAGTTAGAGGGTTATACTCTGTCCTCTTGCGTAAGCCCGGGACAACGAATTTAATCTGCAGTTGTCTCTTATTACCAAAATGTTTGATGGATACCTGGCAGGATTTGTCCCACAAATGAAAACAAATACCTTTAGTTGAATTCTAAGATACATATCGTATGCCATCTTTGTGTCTTTGCATTTTGATATATTATCACCAACAGTGTTTTTCTATAGACTGCTTTTAATTTTACTGATGGCCCCAATAGAGCCGTACACTCATTTTGAATACAAGAGGCAAAAATCTCAGAAAAACAATGACCTTTTTAGCTGAACATTCCCGCTTTGTCTTTTCATGCAGTTTAAAATGGATCGTGCACAATGATTATTCTACGAAATACATGTCTTCCTGAAAAGATTATAGGACATAGTTTCTATCATAAGCATATCTATAGCCTGTGTTACTGAAAATATGTGAACATGGTGTCGTTTACACGCGTGAGAAGACTTTGAGAGGGACAACAAATGTGAACGAGCCATTTGAGAGGAAAGAAGAAGAGAAATATCATCTAGAAGAACATGTATGTAAGAGATGCAAATCCTCTGAATAAAAACTAGGAGAAAATATCCATTCTGGTTTGTTTGATGTAAGACGTAGGTGGAAGATGAGAAAAGGGTCTCCCTTTCGACCTATATCAATAATGCGAATATACATTGAACAGTGCTTAATTGCCATGGTAACAACGTTGTGCAAGTCAGAAAAGCGAAGTTTGAAGATTGAAATGTGTCAGTTCAACGAACAGATTTACATTTTCATCACTTCGTTGGCAGTTTTATGGAAACCTCATGCATTTCAAATTTCCCTCTCCGTGTTAAGTCTCCTCTCTTTTCCAATTTGTTTCAAGGGATAGAATTTAGGTAATGCATACATTTGTCATCTTTCCTTCAAGTAAACCAAAGTCGAATTATTTCTTAATCATTAAAACCTACCAAAACGTGATGTTTAAGATTGATAGAAAATCATCAAGGTATACTTCTTAGTTTGTCATCTATTTCACTCTCATGAACGTCGTTTTTATGATGAAGATATGAATAAATATGAAGCGATCTCGTGATTCCTATAGGCATGAGAAAGTACCTCTTCAAAAAAATAAACAATGTAGTTTAAAATTGCTTGATACGGGTTCTCAATACGTTGACAATATTTTTTTGAATTCGTCGTCCCTTCTTTAGTATTAAGCATATAATGATCTTACAAAACCATCAGTGTAGTGGAGACTGGAGACAGTTAATTCATTCGCAAGTTTTAAAATTATTATTGTTTTGGGATTCGTGTTTCTCTCTTTTACCAGTCCGCTTTATCTTTTTAATGTTTCATTTGGGAAAATGATGACTTAATAAAAAATCGGCAAAAAGCGGAGACACATCAAAATGATGATTGCAATGATTGTCAGAATATATCACAGTCATTATAAGTTGTATCTTTATCATAATTTTTACAAGATGATTGTTCAAGATATTTATAAAAATGGAAGGTTTGATTATAAGGTACCCAATAAACAAAATCACGTGAAAATCACGTCAGTATCAAGGTATCGACTTGAGGAGAGTTACGTTCTTCAAACACCGGACATTTACGTAAATGTGTTAATACGTTTATTGCACTAGGTCACTTAAAACACACGTACACTAAATCACGCAATTGTCACTGCAATATCACCATTATAATGACGTGATTATCCCTACCTTGGAGACCATGGTTTGGAAACCTAATACTCCCGTGTTTTTTTGGTTATGAAATTACATCTTCATAAACGAAATTATCGCGTCACAGAAACACGTTAAGCGTTAGTGATAGTTTTAGTCAAAACGTCCCTATTTTCACGAAGTGACGGTAGTGTGGAAAATAGTAACGCAAAGTGAATGCAATTCTTTTTCACTACCGTCACTTCGTGAAAACAGCGACGAAAATATCTGCGTGAAATTCACTTGAATATTACGTCGAAGAGGAAATATATTACTGTAACCCGCGTTCAACCCAATAATTACGCAAATGTTACACAATAAATAAACCAAAATAATGACGTTCTCATCCCGTTTCTGAACATCGTGTTTTGGATCTTCCATAATTACCTCCAGGCGCGCCGGAAGCAGTTTGGAATTAGAGGGGGTGGGGGGGGGGGGGGTGGTTGCAAACATCCCAGAGGAGAAAGCTAGTTGCAACTGGTCCAGTTGATGAACCAGTTAATGCCAACTGGTAACCCCGGAAATTGAAATGGGCTAAGTGATCCAGTTGATCCAGACCAGTTAGAATTCAACTGGTCTAGCTGAGCCATTAGAACCATTTGGTAAAACTTCCAACCAGTTGAACGGCAACAACACTTCAATACTGGTACGTCTGTATTTCCAATGTAAAGGCATTGGTAATAAAGTAGACTTATTTAATTTAATTTAATCGAAATTTTTTCAAATACTTGTATTTTATTGAAATTATTTTAGTTCTAGTTAATGTTTTCCTTATTCATGTTTAATTAAATGTAATTTATACGAAGTAGCGAAATGTCCTAATAAGTGGTATTTTATATTTGTAGTATTTTCGAAATGAATTGCATATAACTAAATCATCAGTAATTAAGAAATATGCTGTAAATTCAGATAAACAGTTTAAAAAACATAGATCTGCACGCACCCCATATTCAATATGCAAATTAATTTGTGTCAGCTGGTTCAACTGGAAACATGCCAACAGTCAGCCAGCAGTCATCAACTGGTGCAACTGAAAATATGCACACAGACCGGTTATCAACTGGTGAAATGAAAAGATGCCAACAGTCAGTTATCAACTGGTGAAAATAGAAATATGCCAACAGACACGGGATTATCACCACGGAACTTAAATGGTAACTGTGAAACCATCAAGACACCCAAGAATAACTCATTTTTCACACCTGGAAATCACGGAATACCCAGCTTACATTAATAATCCGTTTGAGTCACGAAATCATCACCGCGGAACTGCTGGCAATTTTGAATACCATTTACATAGGTGTTTTAAGACACCTAATAATTACTAATTTTTCACACCTAAATATCACGAATTCACAGCTTAGATTAGTAATCAGTTTTAGCTACGTGATCATCACCAATAAAGTTATGGTAACTTTAAAACCATTTAAAAAGGTGTTTTAAGACACCTAATAATTACTAATTTTTCACACCTAAAAGTCACTTATGCCCAGCTTAGATTAATAATCGGTTTGAGTCACGAGATCATCACCGCGGAACTGCTGGCAACTTTGACTACCATTTAAATAGGTGTTTTAAGACACCTAATAATTACTAATTTTTCACACCTAAATATCACGGATTCACAGCTTAGATTAGTAATCAGTTTTAGCTACGTGATCATAACCAAGAAAGTTATGGTAACTTTGAAACCATTTCAAGAGGTGTGTAAGACACCTCAGAATTACTAATTTAATATAACCAGAGATTCACGGACAGAACAATATGACGATTAGCCGGTGTAAGTAACGTGATTATTACCATCAACCTTGGATAACCTGTGAAACCAATCGATTAAGGTGCTTACAAGACCAAATAATTACTTATTTATTACCACCATCAATTAACGGACAAAAAACTCGTTGTTTGGTCAAGTGGTTATTTGGTCATAAACACGTGATTTACAGAGGTAAGTGGAATCACGTTACTCCAGTCGCGTGATAAATTGGGGGTTTTTATGTGAGATGAAAACGTGAACAGGAGTACCTTTTTTGTTTAAATGAAAGCACGTGTCGATAACGTTTAAATTTAGTTCAAAAGGCACCATACTTTAAAATCACTTAAAATACACTCCCAAAAGAGGTTACTTTTTAGTGTTTTGTTTATTGGGTAAAGAATCATATTCTTAAAATGGATTAATATATAAAACTTCTACTGTGTTGTTTAATTCACTAAGGTTTACAAAAGTCAGAGGCATCTAGTTTTGGAACATGCTGAACATGATATACTAAAGAAACAGAGCAGGTAAAAAGCTGAATGTTTCAACATGCGCTGAGATTGATATTGCATTCTTAAAAAAAACGAGAATAGAAATTGGAAAAGCATGCGGGGATTGGCTCTTTGTTTTTACTTCCGTTCCACCATAGAGCTTCTCGGTCTGCTAACACAATAAGTGGATAGGTCGTCTGTATAGTAATGTCTCATTTTGAGAGAACATTTTCTCAGCGGTCTTTTCTTATAATTTCGTTAGTATGGATCGCAAGCTGAACGCGAGTTACATTTTATTGTATTTATTTAAACCAAGGACGTCGCATGTACTAGTCATGCTAGTAGTAGGCATATCTGCTGAGCTTGTGCTGTCTTGTACAAAGATGCATTTCAAGATGGCAGCTTTTCTTGCACGGCGCCATGACAGATGTCACGTGATGTGAAACGTATGGTGCATAATGCATAATCCAGCACAATGCTTTTTTTTGTGTGGTTGTATGGATAAAAGGGATCAGATTTGTATGGTCACCGCATGGGAAAACGTGTGATCATTAATTTCAAGTTCGATTGAACTTCCACTCACTCTATTCCATAATACTGAATTCATTTTAATGTAACCTATATTGAGAAAAAAAAGCAATGTGAAAATGTGACTCATCAGGCTGCACATTTCCGGGCAAGAATATAAAAGCGACCCATAATTCTCATAGGGATTGAACGTAGTTATAGGTTCGGTCAAATGATTTTTGGTGTTCATTTGGATATAGTAAACTGATTTTGTGACTTATTGAGACAAATCTGCAACATTCTTCAATGTCATACATGAAAATTACAGAAGATATAGTGATATGCAAAGAAAGTTATAAAATATATACAAATGGGCACTCAAGTAAAGACAAGAATAATGTTGTATGGTTACAAGTAATCTATAATTTACTGCGACTGCATGATAAGCGTTCCAGTATTTTAGTCATTCTTTGC